GAAAGAAACAGCAGAGCTTGATTGTGATGAGTTTGGTCTTTTATCTCTCTGTCCTCTACACGTGTACTGATCCTGATCAGCTGTAATTACTCCTCTGATAGTGAGAGTGTCTCTGTTTACAGTGTAACGATCAGACGTGTGTAACATTACACTGTCTGTGCCTTTATACCACTCATATCTCCAGTTACTGTGAGACTCAATCACACACTTCAGATTGACTGTCTCTCCAGTGAATATAGGACTGTCTGGTGTCACAGTCAGTGTAGGTGTGGGTAAATCTGTAAAGAAAGAAAAAAACAGACTCTGAACTGAATATCTGACTTCATGTAGTTGATAGTGATATGAGTAAAATTTGCTATGTTATGACAAAAGTTGAAATAATAATAATAATAAAAGTTGTATTATTTTATTTGTTTTGTAATTTTAATTGGATTTTGAAATGAGAAAGTTGTTAAAACATTGAATTGTTTCTGTTCTGGCCGGTTGGTGGGACTCTTTTCAGTCAGATGTTTTAGCATTTAGCTGACACTTTTATCCAAAGTGACTTACAAATGAAGACAACAGAAGCAATCAGACCAACAAAAGAGCAATAATATAAGTGCTGTGACTTAGTCTAAAGAGTCTAAAGCAGTACATGTAGCAAGTTTATTATTATTATTATTATTTATAATAAATAAAAGTATAAAGAATTAATTAATAACATTAAGTATAGTTGGTGTAAAATATCTTAACTCTCATGCGCTGTTTGTTTACATGGTAGAACATTTTTCCAAGGATAATTCATAATTATAACAGTGGTTAAGCATATGCTTTTTTTTTTTTTGATTATTAGGTTCAGGATGTACACTCAGGATGTTTGTTTCCCCACAGCCCAGATGATAACATGCTTTATTTATTTGTTTTGTTTTTTTTAGTATTTAGTATAAATAAAATAACTTTTTTATGTAAATTCTAACTTTCATTCATGGAGATAACATGGTCAATGTGCTAGACTGCTGCCATAAAATAAAATAACATGAAATTACAACTACAGCCACTAGATGGCTGAAATGATCACTAAATGGCTCATTAGATTGACGTTGATGTTTGAGACATTTAACAATAAAAAAAAATAAAAAAAAGTTAGTCAAAGTTTAACTTTTTTGTACTACCATTTTTGCAATTATGTTACAATATTACTGTAAAACTTGGTGTTATTTGCGTTGTGTGTGTGTTTGCATTTGTTCTCCATTGTAGATGTTATGATGTCACTTCTTCATTTCTGTGTTCCCCATTATAGCTGTCTCTCTCTCTCTCTCTCTCTCTCTCTCTCTCTCTGCTTTGTGGTTGATTTAACGACTTTATCTGACAAACTGAAGAAGACAAAAAAAAAAAAAAAAAGATTTTGTCTTCTATTCATTTCCATTGCGGGTTCTGAGGAGACACCTAACTGTCACGAATCTGGTCCGTGGTCTTCCGTCTGCTCGCCACCAGAGATCGCCTTCTGATTATATTGACTCTCACATTACACAGACTGTCAAATGTGAAGTGAAGTATGGTGTCCCATACTCGGAATGTGAGCTCTGCATTTAACCCATCCAAATGCATACACACAGTAGTGAACACACACACACACACACACACCGTGAACACACTGCTGCGGCGCCTGGGGAGCAGTTGGGGGTTCGGTGTCTTGCTCAAGGGTCTCACCTCAGTCGTTGTATTGAAGGTGGCGAGAGCGCTGGTTATTCACTCCCCCCACCAACAATTCCTGCCAGACCTGAGACTCGAACCCGCAACCTTCGGATTACAAGTCAGACTCTCTATCCATTAGGTCACGCCGGACTACATTTCACAAGTTCCATTTCACTGATTACGTTTTCACCTGAAGCCAATTACACACACTATACAAATCAGTCTCTAACCACCATTCAAAGCCGAGTATTGTTTAGTGTTTATCACTCTCCAAGTGATAGCTACATTACGGAGCCATTCCGAGTTTTCTGAGTTAAAGTCTAGTTTATCCTGTTTATTGCCTGAGTCATTCGTGTCTTGATCCTAGCCTGTGTATCTCGTTTCTGTGTCTTCTCTGCCTGCCTTGGATTTTAGCCTGTCTTGGATTATCCCTTTGTCTTTGGACTATGGACTATGTTTGCACCTTGCCTGGAATATAACCTGTCTGTTGGATTACCCGTTTGCTTCGCCCTCTGGATTATGTTCGCCGTCATTTGACCCACGCCTGTCCTTGGATTACTCTTTTGTCTTGCCTACAACATACCTGTTCGCCATTGTCTGTTTTGTGACCACGTCTTTGAATAAAAGCTTGCAAATGGATCTGCACGTCTCTCGTCCCTGTCGCCCCGTTACAAATGGAGCATGTGGGGGGAGGAAAACGCACACAAAACACGGAACAGAGTCTGACATTACTCCCCCCTCCTGGAAGGCGCATTTTGAGGGGGGGTGTTGCACACAGCTGTAACCAATCACACACACACTATATTACACCCACTCAGATCCTTCTCAAACTGCCGAGTATTGTCTAGCGTTTATTGCTCTCCAAG